TTCAACGGTACGCGACCACGCTGTTCTAGTAACTGCACTGCATTGTCTCGACTTCCGACGCGCCACACCAAAAACCAACTCCCGCCTCGCGCGAACGTCAAACCGGTATGAATGCACCGAGCGCCCTCTAGCGTCAATTCTTAAAATTAGCGTTTGGCGCAAACAAATACCATATCATCATCATCATCATCATCATTACAGCCCTTCACAAGTCCACTGCTGAACATAGGCCTCCCCCAAAGAATGCCACAAAGCACGGTCCTGAGCCACCTGCATCCATCGACTTCCTGCATGTCTTACCAGGTCGTCACTCCATATCATAAATCATAATTAAATTAGGAAAAATAATGGTCTATAATGATATAATTATATCTAAAACGCAGTAAACAAAAGTATTAAAGAACGTATTAAATAAAATATACAAAAATATCATCATCATTACACCCCTTCACAAGTCCACTGCAGAACATAGGCCTCCCCCAACAAATGCCACAAAGCACAGTCCTGAGCCACCTGCATCCATCGACTTCCTGCATATCTTACCAGGTCGTCACTCCATCTAGTGGGGGGACGCCCAACACTTCACCTGCCGGTACGAGGCTGCCACTCGAGAACCTTTCTTCCCCATCGGTTGTCGTTTCTTCGAGCTATATGGCCGACCCATTGCCACTTCAGCTTACTAATCCATTGGGCTATGTCGGTCACTCTGGTTCTACTGCGGATATCCTCATTTCTAAGTTTATTACGCAGAGAAACTCCGAGCATAGCCCTCTCCATAGCTCGCTGAGCGACCTTGAGCTTCCTCATCCGGCCAGCAGTGAAGAACCACGTCTCAGTTCCGTATGTCATCACTGGCAACACGCATTGATTGTACAGTTTCGTTTTCAAGTTTTGAGGTATACTGACGAGAAGATGTGCCGTAATTTCCAGAACGCTGCCCGACCGAGTTGAATCCGTCGATTGACCTCTCGGTCGAAGTTGGACTTACCTAGTCGGACTATTTGTCCCAGGTAAACATACTCGTCAACAACTTCGAGCTTAATGTTCCCAACAACTACCGGCATAGGTGTGACATGGACATTAAACATGATCTTTGTTTTGTCCATGTTCATCTTAAGACCTATCCGTTGGGAAGCACTATTGAGATCATTGAGCATAGTGCTTAGGTCCTCCAGCGATTCTGCCATAAGGACTATATCGTCGGCAAATCGAAGGTGAGTGATGTATTCGCCATTGATGTTGATACCGTATGCTTTCCAGTCCAGAATCTTGAAAACGTCTTCCAATGCAGCGGTGAAGAGTTTCGGGGATATGACGTCACCCTGTCTTACACCTCTCTGCAATTGGATAGGTTTCGTACTCTGGTTCTGTACTCGGATAGCCATCGTAGCCCTACTGTACAAGCACTTCAGCACTTCGATATACCGACAGTCCACTTGGCACCGCTGAAGGGACTGCAGCACCGCCCAAATTTCGACGAAATCAAAGGCTTTCTCATAGTCCACATACGCCAGACATAGTGGCAAATTGTACTCCTCTGACTTTTGTACAATTTGCCGAAGGGTATGTATGTCTATGGTCTATGATGCTAAAGCCTTTTCGGAAACCGGCTTCAAAAAATTCATCAATAATTATTGTAAAGAAAATGCATTGCAACTTATAACTATTTAGTTAAAATTTGCACGCCTTGATAAGGCAGAAGGTATCGGAACTTTATGCTTTAATAATACTTTTGTAACATCTACCTACATTCTAAGCAAATAAATACTCGTAATTATGAATTATAAAACTAAAACTAATTTTACGGATTTTATCGCGTATATTAACTTATTTTTATATTCCCGACGTTTCGGGTGCTTTCCAGCACCCGAAACGTCGGGAAATTAGTTTTATTTAAAAATGTGTAGTGTTCGCGTAAATATAAGAAATAATTATGAAAATTTTAATCTCGGACTCCACAAACTCTGTTTGCAGAATCTCAAGAAACGTAATAACTTTTTCATTATTCCACTCCAGCATAGCCATACGTGCGACCCCGTTCCTGATGTATTACTTTTCTCAATGGCGCTCACCGTGCACAATGAGTACAGAGTACTTTTTTATAACAATGAGACAAACGTAGTGTGGCCGCTTCAACGCGTCATTTCGTGCGTTAATCTCTTTGATATACCGCCACTCGAGTTATTGTCAACTTAACATTTTAATGCCGTTGTCAAATTAAAGCGTTAAGTTGTGGCCGCACCTACATTCAGCGTCCATCAACGCCATAATTAACGGCATTTCTCGTTAGTGAGGCTCCAGCATTAGAGAACAGAACGATTTCCACATAACAGTTTCTTTAACTTTCTTGGTGTAGGCATACCACATCTGGCGCTATATGAGATGGTTATGTTGCCATCTATGGGAAATCTTTATGGTACTTTTCATAGTTGCCTCATAGAACAATCGAATGATGTCACGGAGATGATCAATTCTTTTACGTTGTTTATTGTAACAATGTAAAATATATATTTAATAAACAAAAACTACAAAATCTTTCAATAAAACTACCTTTGCGGATTTCAGCACAATAAATTTAATTTATTTTTTTACTCTTAATGTTTCCGTTACCTTATAGTATCTAGTATCACAGAACTCTACGAAATGTAGAGAGTAGAGATGGGCCGACTATGCTATTTGCCGACTAGCCGATCAGTCGGCCGACTAGTCGGCAATGCCGATCATTTTATTATTAGCCTTTCGAAGGTATTTGGGCTATGTCGTCATCACTCGGCACGCTCACGCATGCGTAAGAGCCATCGTGGGGCCACGCCGAGCGTGCTGTGACAGCTTACAACACAGTTTTGTTTACGTTTTGATCATTTTGTGTATATTCGGTCTGCCGGTGTAGTTGAAATAAATATAAGAACTGTGTGTGGGGTCGTAAAATGTCGAAAAAGAAATCGCGAGTGTGGACATTCTTCGATGATGTTGAAAGAGAACCGACAAAAGTTAAATGTAACCAGTGCCAGGGAATCATTTCATACGGTGGTCAAGATAGATAAGCAAATATAACAAGTATGAGAAATCACATAAAATATAAGCACAACGAGTCGATGCATCAATTGACAGGTGCTATTAAAAGTAGTTTAAATAAAGTCTATTTGCCTTCATCTTCTCAATCGCAACCTGCGTCCTTGTCACCGTAGCCAGTTCCATCAACTTCAACGAGAGACGAAGTATACATACATACAACAAAGAATTCAAGACAGTGTAATTTAGGTCCAGTGGTCGCTTCAGAGAAATAAGTGTTGCCACAGGAGAGATGATTGCCTTAGATAACCAACATCTCTCTATATTGTGGAATACAGTGGTATCATCAGTCTAATGAAGAAGCTTAAACCAAAATATGTACTACCTAGTAGAAAGTATCTGACAGAAAATATTCTCAACATTTATGAGGAAACTAAAACTGAAATACGATGCGGAGTGCTCAGCGCTGCCGTGCTATCCGTAACTACAGATTTGTGGACAAATACAAACAATAAGGAAAGTTTTTTGAGCAGCACACTGGTTGGATAACAATATGAAATTTCGTCAAGCAGTACTCCAGATAAACATTTTCCTATATCTCACGATGCACATAACATAAGTCAGTCTCAAAGAAATTCCTGCCTCATGGAATATAAGTGCAGCCAAAATACACGCTGTTGTTCGAGATAATGGGAGAAACATTGCAAAGACTATCGATGAATCGATTTTCAAAGCAGTTCAATTTTTTATTCATACTATGCAATTGCCAATTCACGATTCACTTAAAATTGAATATATAGCACCAATTCTTCAAAAATCGAGGCGTACCGTTATGACCCAAGGTATAAACTACAGTTTTTTGATAATGAAAATATAGTATCAGTAAGATCACAGTTTTTGCTGGAAGCCTTAAACAGTATGAGTAACGATGATGACAGCGACCCAAATTAAGACGAGACCAACACTCAAAATCCTAACTCCGAAATGACAGGTCATCGCAACTTTTCGGGAGTTTACCAAGAAATTGTTACGCGAAAAGTGCACAATATTTACGACGAAACATCTAGTTCAGCTCACGAACTTCATTGTTACTGCACATTGCCAGTCTTAAAGCGAACTGAAGATCCATTTAAGTGGTGGCATAAGAACAGCTCTAGGTATCCTGAAATGGCTCGTATAGCTAAAGTATAGCTGTTTTGTCCTGCAGCACGATTTATAGCGAGCATCTCTTTTCGGAAGCTGGCCATGTATGTGAGACAAAAAGGAACAAGCGGTTCCTTCCAGATCGCGCCGAAACATTGACATTTTTATATCATAACTTGCCACTAATTAAAAACAAAGATGTTTAAGTACTATTTATGCGTTAATTTACACTAAACATCTTGTTGATAATTTATTTTAATATTGTACAATGATTCCATCACACTATTTTTTATGTTTTATTATTCTTGAATAAAGACTAATTAATACTATGGCTCTATGATGCATTGAAAATGTTATTAAGGTACCGTTATTATTTATTAGCTATGTATGTGTCATTGATTGATGATACTTAATTACTGACTGATTCTTAAATTCCTTATAATATGGCAACAGATTAATATTTAATATAATAAAGCGCAGCTAGGTAATTATCATAAAAATAGCACAGCACAGCAGATCAATGAAAAAGTATAATAAAAATCAATTACGTAGGAATAAATGTTGGTTTAATTTATTTGCTAACGACCGATTATAATCGGCATATTTTGCCCATTAGTCGCCGACTAGTCACCGACTGTAAAAGATGCCGAATAGTCGTCTTTCCCGACTAGTCGACGACTAGTCGGCCCATCTCTAGAAGAGAGTTAAAATAAACACAATAACACGTTAAAGTAGTTTCATTCAATGTATAGTGTTCACGTTAATATAGTAAATCATTAGATACTAAATCTTTGTTGACGAGCTCTGTCATAAAATGCCAATTAAACAAATGTTTTGATTTTCAGGCGTGGAGTCGACTTCACTGATATTGAAATCAAGCGTGGAGGGTCTACCGGAGCGTCCTCCACGGCTGCTGTTCGTCAAAGACTACGACACAATAGAATCAGCACCGGAGTACAAGAAGCTATCCCTAGCTTCTAAATACAAACTGTCCCTGACCTCCCTGATGATAGCCTTTTACACCACATCTATAGGTCGTTGGTTGTTAAATTTCTATTACATCATGATCTTATACATGATTCAGTATTTCCCATACGTAGCATTTTTCATATACGGGATAAAGGATTCCTACACAAATATTTTCACAGAGGACCCTGTAGACGATACGCCACCCAAACCTAACTCTGAGTATTACAAGCCTCAGCCGCCAGAGCCCTGGTACAAAGCCCTTCTGTCTTTCTGGTGAGAAAGTGTTTATTGGCCTGTTTGAAAGTCATTGAGAAGATAAAAAATGTAAATTATAATTTTAGATTTGTGTAAATCATCTTTTGTAGTGTTTACACATTAGTAATGTTAAAGTACATTCATAGTGTTGAAGAAACAAAGTATATAATGGAGTTGTTATAAATTAATTTGCTTAATTCCGCGTAAAGAAAGAAAATGATGTGCCCTGCCCAGTTTTAAGGCGACCTCCCACTATCTTAATCACGCGCACTATACCTGTCGCCGTCAATCCCAGCACTACCATCCCTAGCACAACGCCTGACTCTATCAATTAACATAGTATATAGTATTAAAATTACATTTTAAAAATAAATATGAAAAGTTTAAATGCGTGGATTAAAACAATTCAGTTAATTAAAAATAACAGCGTATTATACATAAATAATACCTGTAATTTAGTTATATACATACTACTAAGTATAATATATTCTATATATAAATTCTATAATAAAGTCTCGGATTGGGGGCGACTAAATCTAGTCCAGTTTAATCCTCAGAAGACACAAGTTTGCGCGTTTACCGCTAAAAAGAACCCCTTTGTCGTATCTCCTCAGTTTCAAGGCACTCCCCTTCTTGCCTCAGCCAGTATCGGTATCCTCGGAGTCGACATATCGAGTGACGTGCAGTTTCGTGGTCACTTGGAAGAGAAGGCCAAATTGGCCTCTAAAAAGCTTGGCGTGCTCAGCAGAGCGGGACAGTATTTCATGCCGGCACACCGCCTGCAACTTTACAAGGCGCAGGTTCGGCCTCACATGGAATACTGTTCCCATCTCTGGGCAGGGGCTCCCCAGTGCCAGCTCCTTCCACTTGACCGCATCCAGCGCAGAGCGGCTCGAATCGTCGACGACCGAGCCCTTTCCGATCGGCTCGATTCATTGGCACTGCGAAGAGATGTTGCATCTCTTTGCATTTTCTTTCGCATCTACCATGGGGAGTGCTCTGAGGAATTGTTCGGATTAATCCCAGCCGCCAAATTTCACGAACGCACATCGCGGCAGAACTCCCGATACCATCCACACCATCTGGATGATTGGCGGTCCACCACTGTGCGATTTAGAAGATGTTTTCTTCCTCGCACAACTTCCTTGTGGAATAGTTTACCACCAGGGATTTTTCCGGACCGATACGACTTAGGGACTTTCAAGAAAAGAGCCTACTCCTTTTTAAAAGGCCGGCAACGCATCTGCAATTCCCCTGGTGTTGCGGTTGTTCATGGGCGGCGGTAGTCACTTACCATCAGGTGAGCCGCATGCTCGTTTGCCCCCTCTCATATAAAAAAAAAAAAAAAAAAATATAAGGATAAGAAAAACATAAGAGATAACGGATTATTTTATATATTGGACCCTCAAACGCGAAACTTATTGTCGATTTGTCAGTCACGTTTCCTGCTCATTTTAAATCTGGTTAATAGTTTTTTACTAACTCCTGAAGAAAAGCACATTGGTAGTTTTATTAAATTCTATTGTCACCAAATCAAAAAATCGCTATCCACTCAACTTTAATCACTTCCATCAGCTTTATATTGCATTTATAGAATAAAAAAGTACACCAACAACAAGAGGAGATTTTAATTAATACTTTTGACATTATTATAAAATTATTTAGTTTCAATTATTATTAAAAAAAAGTTAATTGAAAATAATTTCACGACGTCAGTTGGTTGGCATGGATGTGAACAAGATAACTTTCGAAAAACTGACCTTATCATTTAGATTTTTTTTTATTAGCTATAGATTGCAATCCTTAGGGAGTCTTTTGAATTTCACTATTGCAAACCATGCCGTTCGAGGTGTGCACTTTTGGATTTTCCAAATTTATTTTTATAATTTTTTTATCAATAAACTGTAAGTATATATATATATATATATATATATATATATATATATATATATATTAATTTTGTTATTTGGTTTAATTGATTATTGTGTTTTTTCCCCTGTATTGTTTTAAGGTGTCTCAGTTTATTAGTTTATATTTTTTTATATTTTTTGTATTTCTTGGTTTTTGATTTATTTTAGGTTATGTTTCTAATATTTTGTAATTTATATTATAGTGTTACTCTTCTTGTGAAGCATGTTGTGGCTGCCTTTAATAGGTTTTACATTTAATAATTAAGCTTATATATTATGTTTTGTTAACATGTATTATTGTACTAAACCTCTGACTGTCCTTAAATAAATAAATAAATAAGGTAACACACATAAAAAATAAATTAAAAAGTACAGTCGAATTGAGTATCTCCTTTTTGAAGTCGGTTCAAAGATAAAAGAATTTTATGTCAAACGGAGTATAATAATTTTATTGTTCAGTTTCGTCCACGGCTACATTTTCTAATAATATATGCATATTTATATGGAAGTAAATAAGAAATATTACAGCTTGTAACTGCTGAGCTCAGATAACTTCTCTTACTTCTTAAAAAGTCCGCTACGCTGCTCTAGATCGAGTTGGCGGACTTTAAATATCTTCGAAATGTTTTGTTCCTCAAACATGCGAGTTTACTCAAGACGTTTGCGTTGATTTTATAAACGACGCATTTTGTTAAAGTTTTATTATTTTATTATATTAATTATATTTCATAAAGTATTAAATTTGCAACAATTTAAACCTAACCACAACTTTTTCTTCAAGATATATTTTAAATACTTTATATTTTTTTCAAGATATTGTTTAAAAACCTCGTTTTATTCAATAAAACTTTTAGGTTGTACTCTTGCTTCGGGTCGAATATCAGTGAAACTGTTAATGTTACGAGAAAAATTCATAGAAGTTATAGTAAATTTAACTGGCTTTTATCGAAATCTGTAAGTATATTCCAGTTTCCTAATACAAAAATTGTCCAAACCAGAAAAATAGGGAAATCAGCCTAGTAAACATTTTTATGGACATTTGATGAAAGATTTATACGTTATAGGGCTAGGACAGAATACCAGTGTAAAATAGCAGCTTAATGCTGCTTTATTTCGTATGTTGAGTGTAGAAAAAAAAAGAAAAAAAAAAGAGCGGGTCCCCGCTTCAGTAATTAGCTTATTTAAATTTTGAGGTTAATTTCTATCGCTGCTCAACTGTCAGTTTTAATTTTGATTAAAAAATTGCTGTTTTCTGGATATAATGTTAATGTTGCTTATTACCAAGGTGAGATGTCAGATTTTACGCATTATTATTTGCCACTGCTGTACGGCTCCCTCTTTTATATTATTGACGATGATGATTTATTTATGTAAATCCATCGATTATTTTCACACTATTGCGCCAACGTTTGTGTAAGCAACCATTTTGTGGGCTACGTTTTGTTATTTGTATTTTTAAGCCTCTGAAATAACCAATATTATAAAACAATAAAGTATACTAAAATTAAATCAACAAGTGTTTTTATTTATTTTCATTTGATGAACATAATGTAAAACAGAAGCCTTGGATATACTTGGGGATAAAAGGAGAGACATGTTGCGCAACTTGTCGCTCAATAACTGCGTGGAATGTCCCGAGACATTGTCGCGGAACATTTTACAGGCCACACTAATCAGTGCTTATAGAAATGTCGCCCGATGAGGTAGTGGCGATTAGCGCTGCGTACATATTACTTATTTCGCAAGTGAAACACAAGCGAAAGAGAAGGCGATGGACGCGGAATTTCTTACTACAACGAGACGAAAGAAAAATTAATATATCAAGTGATCTCCGAATGTCTGACGGATCTTTTGTGTATTTTACTCGAATGAGAATATTATATTATTTATATATTCGGAATATTTAGAGACGATGGCAGGAGACCGACGGTATGACATTGGTCCCTTGGGAGAGAGATAAAGCCCTAGTGTGGGATGCTACTTGCGTAGACACTTTGGCAGCCTCTCATCTCAGGGGTACAGCCTAAGAAATGCCACCAATCACGTCCTGAGCCACCTGATTACCCGCATCTAGTCGTCACTCCATTTGGTGTGGTACTGCACTATACTACGGTACGAGGCTGCCACTCGAGAACTGACTGACCTCTAATGTCTAATATTATTGATTGATACAAAGTAATCCTAATCTTGAATAGATTACACTTTATTATAACAAATTTGTAGAAAATTTGTGTTTGCAATTTTAATATTTTCTGGTAAAACAAGTGTAGAAGACGCCGTTAAGAATAATGAAGCGAAATTTGTAATTTTTCCAATGTTCCTGGGATGTTCATGGGATGAATTTTAAGACGTGGTAAAGCCATGCTGCAGCTATATTAGTAGTATAGTTGTAGTACGAATGGGTCGACTCGATCGGGGAAGGACCATGCTCTCACAGAAAACCAGCGTAAAATAGCAGCTTAACGCTGCTGTGTTTCGTATGGTGAGTGTAGAGAACCGGAGACCTGTTTTACTGGAAAAGAGGCATTCCATCTTAGTCCTCACGGGTGACAACGCATCTGCATTTTGATTCTTTATTGAGGATAGATGTGGATGTCTATGGGCCACAGCAACCACTTTCTTAAGATATTCTTTATGTTCCTTCTTTCTTTATCGCGATTTTTGTTTGCAAATTTTTAATAATTGTGTTTAGGAAAATTTCAACTAAAATTAAACAAAATAATGACGTACTTATCTTTGAAATGATGATATTTTATTTGATATTAACTATCATAAAAAATGTATTCATATTTATACTCCCTAAAACTAATCCCTAAAGAAAAAAATTCTAATTTATTACATTAAGTTGTGGTTGTGGTTATACCATATCATCATGTATCTGAAATATTATCTTGATATTTTGATAATTTGGCACGGAACACTAAAGATGTTATTGAACTGAAGACCATACGAGCGAAGCCGCAGGAGAAACTACTACTATAAATATTTATATTAAGTATTCAGATATAAGTTGCTATGCGTGTATTAAATAATAATCACAAATGATAAGATATTTGCAAGTAAATTATCATAAAATTACAAGTTACAAACCCAATAAAAGCGGTATAATATAGCGGTGTTCAGATATTAGCCACAAACCATCTATGACATCATGTTCGTTGTCGATTCTGTAACGTAGTTTGTGTACTATTAACTGAGTTAGCTATTCAATACGTAATAGACTAAATTCGAAAAGAGATCGAACATATGGGTAATTACCTTAACTGTTATAATAATAATAAAAGAATTCAAAAGTTTTTACAATCTGTATATGAAGTAATGCAATCGTTTTAGCGGAAGAGTTTGTGAACCAGCTGCTAAGCGAAGAAGCTCATGAAACACCATCGGATACAAAGAAAATTGATGAGCTGACACCGGAACTTCCAGAATGGTTCAACGAGGACAAATTCAATCAGTGAGTGATGTTTTGAGTTTTAATTTTCTTCTTCTAAAATAATTTTCATTTTCAACATGCTATACTTCCTTCAACACTACTTGCGTCGTATTAACAGCCTGTTTGATTTCACTGATGGACTTAAGTTAAGGCTAGGAGAATATTCGGCATAACGAGTTGCGTTGCGGCGAGAGTGCCATCTTGAGCGCCTGCTACTCAATATAATTTATTATATTACAATAGTGAGTCCTGCACTCTCTAACAGGGCAGCCACGAAATTTTTACAAATGGAAATTGTAGTAATTGGCCAACTGGCAAGAATCACTTGAATATTTATTTATTTATGCTTTAATACTTTTTACCTTTATAATTAAGGAAACAATGGTTGAATTTAATGCCTAAAGGTATCCAGTCAACCCGTTATGTGATAAAATTTTGTGGCAAGTGCAATAACACACATACATTATCATCATCACGTCATCACTACAGCCTATCAAAAGTCATCTGCCGATCATAGGCTTCCCAAATAGATTTTTTTTATAGGAGAGGGGGCAAACGAGCATGCGGCTCACCTAATGGTAAGTGACTACCGTCGCCCATGAACAACCGCAACACCAGGGAAATCGCAGATGTGTTGCCGGCCTTTTATAAAGGAGTAAGCTCTTTTCTTGAAGGTGTTCGGGCCGGAAAAATTGTTGGTGGTAATCGATTCCACAAGGAAGTTGTGCGAGGGAGAAAACTTCTTCTAAATCGCACAGTGGTGGACCGCCAATCATCCAGATGATATGGATGGTATAGCGAGTTTTGTCGCGATGTGCGATGGTGAAATTGAGCGGCTGGAATTAGTCCGAACAATTCCTCAGAGCACTCCCCGTGGTAGATGCGATAAAATACGCAAAGAGATGCAACATCTCTACGCAGTGCCAGTGAGTCAAGACGATCGGAAAGAACTCGGTCGTCGACGATTCGAACCAGTGGAAGGAGCTGGCACTGGGGAGCCCCTACCAGAGATGGGAATAGTATTCTATGTGAGGCTGAACCTGCGCTTTGTAAAGTTGCAAGCGGTGTGCCCGCATGAAATACTGTCCCGCTCTGCTGAGCATGCCAAGCTTTTTAGAGCCCAATTTGGCCTTCTCTTCCACGAACCACAAAACTGCACGTCACTCGATATGTCGACACCGAAGATACCGATACTGGCTGAGGCAACAAGGGGAGTGCCTTGAAACTGAGGAGATACGACAAAGAGATTTTTTAGCGGTAAACGCGCAAACTTGTGTCTTCTGGGGATTAAACTGGACTAGATTTAGTCGCCCCCAGTCTGAGACTTTGTTCAACAAAGTCTCGTCCGGTACTCGGCGACGTTCTCGAGAAATATTGGCACGGCCGGTGTATAAAGCATCACCAGTGCTGTCGTCTGCATAGCAATGAATGTTACTGGTTTGAAACATATCATTGATATGCAGAAGAAACAGCGTTGGTGATAGCGCGCAGCCTTGTGGAACACCAACGTTAAGGCGCAGGTTGAGCAAAATGTCGCGCTAGTCGTTATTTGTGCGGTTTTTAGGAGCTATCTACTTTTTATTTAAAAGATATATCAACAAATAAAAAACACATTATATTTCTACATAATCTTGATTCCATAAAAGCTATATCCAATTTTTTTAAAGGAATAAATATTAATATAATCTCCTTACAACGAAACCACATAAATGTGAAATTATTATTGATAACATGCATCTCCTCGTAAAGTAAGTATTATTTTATTTTGCGATTTACACCAATGGATAGGCAATTTATTAATAAACATTTCTATAGTAAAGTTTTTTTCAAAAGACCAAAATTTGATTTTATTAAGAAATTATTTTAAAATCTGGGCATATTCACTGCTCACGGGCTTGCTGAAGTCAGTGAGCCCTGAGCTCTTCGACGTGCAGCCCGTGTCGTTAGAGCGTCAACCAGCGCAACTCACGTCATATCAGTCGATAATAATATTACTTATTAGGTTATTTATAGGTAGTATTATTTGTTTGTTTTGGGTATAATTTCTCGTATTAGTTATACATATATTTGTTGTGTTTTTTACTGCGCGAAGAAGCTTTTTGCGTGTATTTTCTTTGAAGTAAATGCAAATAAAAAAATGAAGCACCATTAGCATGTAAGGTTCGAATTCATAATTAAAATTTCGACAAATATTATAATTTACACTATAAAAGGCTAATTCAATATTATCACCCAACCACAATATCTTATTAAGTATAGTACTGCCTCGTTGGTCTAGTGGTTGTAGTAGTGCGACTGCTGATCATGAGGTCCCGGTGTTCGAATCCTGGGTCGGGCCAAAAAGTCAGTTATGAGTTTTTCATTTATGTTCTAAGTTATAATTAGTATTATTAAGTTATAGTTTTTTACTAAAATATAGTATATTACTTATTGCTTGTTTTTTCTTCTTTTTCAAAAAATAATTGAGTACATAAGGTGTTCTATACTTATAATTCGGTAAAAAGTATCTAAATAGGTACTAATATACCTACTTTTTACTATTAACTAAAAATTTTTAAAACTAAATTTAACTAAAAAGACTAAACTGACCATTTATTTTTTAACTCAAAACAGGACATGGGTTTATTTATACTCTAAAAACTATAACTTTATACAATTAGTGTTCACTGTAAAATTATATTCGGTATAGACGGTAATTATTAAATGCAACATATTTTTTTTAAATTATTAATTACATTTGTCAGTGGATTAAATTTGCTTTAATAAAGTTGGTGATGATTTTAAATAAAAATAAAATTCTGCTCAAGTTTTTTTATTGTTATCTTTGTTAACAACATCGCCTTTAGAAATCTGGAACCGTAAGTGTTTCTTTCAGACGTCCACAATTTATTCAAAATAAAAAAAATACTCTTTCTACCGGAGCATTCATACCAGGTAGACATAAAATATATTCGATTAAAAAAAATTATGTTGAAGATTGTTGACTTTGAATACTTCCATCCAACGAGTTACGGGACAATTTTGTGTCCCGGAGCTTTGTTTGGGGACAATGGGACAGGTGACCGAGAAAAGGGACAGTCCCGTTCAAAACGGGACGTATGGTCACTTTAGCTATAACCCGGCGACGGCTCCGTGGCGCAGTGGCTTAGCAATCAGTTGTTGCGCTGGGGGCCGCGGGTTCGAATCTCGCACGGAACAAGTATTTGTATGGCCTACAAATAATTGTTCCGGGTCTGGATGTTTGTCCTTGTGCAATTTATGTTTGTAAACTGCCTCCACGACACAGGAGAAAATCCTAGTGTGGGGGTAACGTTTTTTTAACAATTGAAATTGAAAGATTGAACCCTTATACTTCTTGTTGGTTTTTGTATTACCTTTATTAAAATTACCCTTATGTATAAATAAATATAATTACGTATGTAGAAATAAAATTGATTTTCATCCTCATCAATAATTGGGGCGAGGATAATGTCTGCCAGCATAAGTAATAAGCAGGCTAAGTGACAAGGTGCTCAGTTAAAAAATTTGAAGGTAGGTATGTTACTTTTCAATACGTGACACGTAAAAATTAACAGTAATCAAAAACACATCTACGAAACATCCTATTTATTTATTTATTCTTTATTGCACCCAATATTTGTACAAAAGGCGAGCTATCTATCTATTTACCTATAGTGAATAGGTATCTTTTAAACTCACAATTTTCAATGCTTTATTTTTAATATATAATTAATTATAAAATTTCATAATTAGATAATATATGAAAGTACATCATTCTAATATAATGCAAGTAATATACCGAATAAAAAAATTGAAATACATTTATCGTTGTACGCTGTGTGTATTTCCATAAATTAGTTCATTGATGTTGAATAAATAATACTACGTTCGTACCTACAATAGGTGGTGGCGTCTTACATATTTCAAATAAGCAATATATTGAAGCGAGCGGCGCGCCGCCGGCAAATGCTCAAGGTCGTTCGCATGGAGTAGTCCCTTAATGGGCTTGTAATCTGAGCATGCTCCGTCTAGTACGACCTTGATGCTCCGATCTGCAAGAAAACTGGTGATCCAATTGCACAATTTCTCGGGAAGCCCATAGGAAGGCAGCTTCGAAAGAAGCGCTTTGTGCCAAACCCGATCGAATGCCTTCGCTATGTCCAAACTAACGGCCAACGCCTACCCCTTGGACTCCACTGCCTCCGCCAATCTATGAGTTAGGTAACCTAGAAGATCACCAGCTGAGTGACCTCGACGGAAACCGTACTGGCGGTCACTAATCAGCTGGTGATCCTCAAGGTACTGCATGAGTTGACTGTTAATAATGGTTCCATTACTTTGGAGAACAAGAAGGTGATAGCGATAGGCCTGTAGTTGGACGGATCTGAGCGGTCGCCTTTTTTAGGGATCGGGTGCACCAAATCTGTCTTCCATGAGTTGGGGACTACGACTAGGGAGTAGGAGTACTGAAAAAGACGCGTTAAAACCGGTACCAACTCCGGAGCACACGTCTTCAGCACAATAGGCGGGACTCCATCAGGCCCACTCGACTTGTTGACGTCCAGGGAGAGGAGTGCTTTAAGCACCAAGCGCTGTGTAAATAGCACTTCCCGCATGGAGCACTCACACCGCGGGATGGTCGGCGGTGTGTTCCCCCCGTCATCTAGAGTCGAGTTGGAAGCAAAAAGAGAGCCTAGCAGATCGACTTTCTCCTTTGCGTCATGTGCCAGTGAGTCATCCACTCTGTGCAGAGATGGCAGAGATGGCTGACAGACGTTCCCTTGGACAGCCTTGGCGAGAGACCAGAATGCACGTGTTCCCGAAGGGAGGCGAACTAGTTTCTCGCCAATTCTGCCGATGTGCTCTGACTTTGCCCTGGCAATGACATTTTTGAAGGACCTGGAGGCGGAATTATACTTCTTTTTTAAGAGCGCTGGTGTTTACATCCCGGGACGTTGATGCATCAGCCCAGGCCTGGTAGCACTCCTGCTTATAGCGTGATGCTATTTTACAGGAGTGAC